GATGCATTTATTATTTTTAGTTATTTATTTTATCTATTATTTATTTTTAATATCCTATTTTTATTTGTATTAATTATCCGAATGATTAGTATTAGGCCTTTATTTAGTAGAAATTAATGAAAATTATCCCAGATTGGGATACATATTAATATAATTTAACATGTATATAATAATAAGGAACAAGAATTCGCTGTAGTCGAAGAATAACTTTGTAACAAATTAACTTAATAATAAGTTAATAATTAGTTTCAACTAAATACAAAATTAAATAAATCATTTTTATCAAATCACTAAACAAAATTATTTGCTAATAAATCTAATTCGTTAGTATTAGCCTATTCATTCTGATCCACATAAACTATTAAAAATTTGTTATCATCAATTAAAATACGCTCTCCCAAAATTAATTGGTGACATTTGTACGCATGTATGTTTATTTTTTATAAGCAATTTTAATATGCACCGTTCTATTACAAGAGGTTTTAAATGCCCATCTACACACATCCATTTAGAATAGGTTTGGTAATGCTTTTTTTGACTCAAATCTTCTTGCAGAAGGATCAAGTATAAAATGCAGTAATATATATATATAAAAGATAGGATGTGAAAGATTTAAATACCAATTACTGTTTGTTCTTTGTGATTTAGATGGGTTTATTCCTCTTCTTTTTTTATTATCATATTCAAACAAGAGTTTGTTTTCGTATGTCATTTCAAATTTTTCTTAAATTCTTCTTGTGCGCACTTGTTTAACATAATACTAACTTTCCAAGTTGTGAAATGCATACTAGAATCATCCTCCTCAATAACATAATTATCTTCACTAAAAATGTGGTGGTCAGTGTAAATTTGCTTTTGCTTTCAGAATCATTTGAAGGCTCAATTTCATTATGATTAATATTAGATGTTGTAAATACATTATGACCAACAAAGTTTTTAAAGGACTAAAATTTATTAAATAAAAAGTAATTTTTTTTGTGACCTAGGTGTGTACTAAAAATCTTACATGCATGATTTATATAATGAATAAATTTATAGTATAGATTAATTAATCATCAATTGATATTTCAACATCTTTTCCCTTATTATTATTAATTATTATTACTAGAATCTAATATTTATTAATTAATTAAATGAGAATGAAAAAGGTTGTTAGTAATAAATTAACAATTAATAATTTAATTAATTTATTAATGAATTGTATTTATTTACCTTTGTTAAAATCAACATTTAAGAGAATAGAGTTGATATCAAGACTATTTAATGAACTGTTGTTACTTGTATAACTTTTTAAGCTTTTTGATTTAGTAATTTCATCATCTAATATTCTACTTGTATGATATGCATCTGGATGTGATTTGTGTGCTTGTTGCAAGTCACTACCATTACCACCACTGCCACTGCAACCATCATCATTAAAATCAATTTCATGTTTTTTTTTAATTTTAGAAAATTTGAATAATCTTTTTATTAAACTATTATTATTTTTGGTACTATTATTTTCCAAACTTTTGTTATCAAGAATTTCTTTTAGTTTATTTTTAGCAAATTTCTGAAGTTCTCCAATAGTTGGTCTTTTAGATGGATCCACATCCCAACACTTCTGCATCATCTGCAAATAATCATCAGGCATTTCAGGTAATATTGGTGGTCGTAAACCTTCACATATATCAAAGATTAAATGATGATTATGACCTCTATCATCAAATGGTGGATGGCCTGCAAATATTTCCCACATAAGCATCCCAACACTATAAACAT